GAAAGGCTGGGGCTCCAGAACACCCACTGCAGCACTGCCTGAACCACCACCCACCAGCAGGGCCCTGGCTCCTTTGTAGACACAGTTCCAAGTAGCCTCCTCTGGTCCCCTCTGACTCAGGCAGCCTGCCTCTGCCCCAAGGAAGGCTTGCCACCCTCAGTTGTGCCTGGGTCTGGCATGGTCCCAGTGTGGGAGAAGGGCGTTCAGTATCACATGGGTTCTTGCATGGGCTGCACTGGATCTCCCTCCACACTGCCCCCAAACCAACCCACCTCCTTTCTTGAAGTCTGCGGCCTGGAGGTGGGGTCCTCTCTGAATTGGCCCTTCCCCTTGATAATCTCTCCCCTTCAGACATGGTTACCTGCCCTGGAATCTGGCTTCCCCTTGCCAGCTGTGGCTGCCCCACCTGAGCCCTGACCCCTGGCAGAGGGCCATGGTAGGGGAGAGCCTCTCTCTTTGGGTCCTTACTCCCCACATCTGACAGAACACCACCGAGGACCCAATGTGAATGAGTTTCTGGCGAATCCTGCCAACCCTCGCCTGCCCTCTGCCCCTCTCCTTCTCAGCCCCGGTGAGGGCACAGAACTTGCCCTCGGCTGCATGGCTTTCCTGAGGCTGTGCCATGGCACCCATCCTGTGAGCACAGGCTGTGGTGCCTTCCCTCAGCAAATCCATGTCCACGGTGGGAGAAAAATGGAGCTTGGGCCAGCTGGTGGAGCGAGTGGCACCATAGGATCCAGGGGAGCCCCGCTACTGTCCCTCCGATGCTGTTTCTGACGCTTCCGAGCCCTAGCGACTTCCTTCTCCAGTACAGACACCTGGTAAGTAACTCCGGCCCCCTTTTGCTGAAGCTTCACGGTTTTCTGTTGTGTACACTGGGTAGGAGGCAGTGGGAATCTTGGGTGGGATCCTGGCTCTCACAAACCGCTGGGTGCCCTCAGGCAAGTCCCATTCATCTGAGCCCCAGGTTCCTCCTCGGAATTAAGTGGGGGAGACCTTATTTCCTCCAACAGTACCTGGCTATGGTGTCTGACAGGCAGGGTACTTGGTGCGCTGGGCTGGGAAGCTCCCTGCCCCGGGATTTAAATCACTTCTGCCCCAGCAGGCTGGGCTTAGGGAGCCCCAGAACTCCTCACCATGCACCCAGTTCAGTGCTGGGTGTGGACTTGAGGGCAGCTGGAGCTTTGCCAGACCCTGCTTTCCTGCTCTTCTAGTCAGGCAGACCAGCAGTGACCTTGGATTCCAGTGCTTAGCCGGCAGCAGAACGATGGGGCTGGCGTGCGTGCAGGGGAGGGTTGTATCCTCTGATCCCAGGGCTCAGCTGAGCCCCTTGGGGGAGGCAGGAGGCGCCCTCGCGCCCGGAAGCTGGAGCCGGCCAGGCCTGGAGCTGGCGGTGGGAAGCCCGCGGGGCGGTGCTCCCAGGCAGGCGCTGGGGGAGGGCCGAGGGCAAAGATATCGCTGGGGCTTCTGCCCTCTTCGGGGCGGGTAGTCTGAGCCCTGACTCCGCAAGCACCGGCCCCACCCCGCAAGCGCCGCGCGCCCGAGGACCCGGAGTCCGCGCTCCACTCCTGCGAGCTCGGCTGTCGCGTTGCATCCTGGGCTCTGTGGTTTTCGAGGACCGTGGGCGGGGCCCGCTCGGGGTGCGAGGCTATTGGGTGACGGCTGGGGCGCCCGCAACCATTCCCTTTGTGCCCGCCCCTTCCGCCCCGCAACGGAGCGTCGGAGAGCCGTGACGGGCTCTGCCCTGGTGCGCGTCAGCGATTGGCGGAGGGGCGGGGCCCAGGGGCGCGGCTGTCCACGGATTGCTCGGGTGCGGCGGGGGCGGGCCCGCGCATGCACGTAAGGGCGGTGCCCGGGTCGTGGTGGGTAGTGCCAAAATGTCGGCGGCGGCGGTTCCGGAGCTGAAGCAGATCAGCCGGGTGGAGGCGATGCGTCTGGGGCCGGGCTGGAGCCACTCGTGCCACGCCATGCTGTACGCCGCAAACCCCGGGCAACTCTTCGGCCGCATCCCCATGCGCTTCTCGGTGCTGGTGAGGACGCGGGAGGACGCGGGCGGGCGGGTACGGGACGCCACTCGGACCTGCGCCCGTGACCCGGCGCTCCCTTGCAGATGCAGATGCGCTTCGACGGGCTGCTGGGCTTCCCCGGGGGCTTCGTGGACCGGCGCTTCTGGTCGCTGGAGGACGGACTGAATCGGGTGCTGGGCCTGGGCCTGGGCTGCCTGCGCCTCACGGAGGCCGACTACTTGAGCTCGCACCTGACCGAGGGCCCGCACCGCGTCGTGGCGCACCTGTACGCGCGGCAGCTGACGCTGGAGCAGCTGCATGCTGTGGAGATCAGCGCGGTGCACTCGCGGGATCACGGCCTGGAGGTGGGGGCCGCTGCTCGGGCCCCGCCCCCCGCCCCGGGGTTTGGCTCTGGCCCCGCGGAAGGCACCGATGGGTAACACGTCCCCCTGAGGGGCCCCTGGACAGTTTGGGAGGGTGTCGCTGTCTCCAGCTTCGGGGTGGGGAGAGGGACCAGGGATCGGGTAGGGTGGGAGGGGGGCCGGGGCTGGGGCTCCCTCGGGGCTGTGTTCCATCTGCCTTGCTGCCTGCCATTGCCAATCCTGGGAGTGGGAGTGGGATCGGTGGGAGGATGGGAAGGGGCGGTGCCTGCTCCGGGACGTGTGAAACTGCAGAGTAAAAAGGGGATCTTGTAGGTCTGGGTTCATGGGCCGGAATCTCGTGGTGTGGGGGATGAAGGCTCTACTTCTGGGTTTTATAGTCTGGAAGACTGGGAATTGCACTTTGGGATTCACCAGGTGAAAGAGGGAGCATGGGGTGTGGACTGTGGGGCTTCCTGCTAGTGGATGAGGGCTGGGACTTGAGAGTGGGATGTGCATGGGGATGGCCTTGAAACTTGCTTGGGGAAGAGAGGGGCTGCACCGCACCAAGGGAGCTGGCTGGCTTCTACCTCACCCAACCCTACCCGGGTCTCCCATTATGTCCTTGGCAACCTGGCTGTCCTTCCCGTGGCCTAGCTGCTCACGAGCCCCTCCTGCCAAGGCCATGCCATCTGTGTGGGGGCCTGGTCCCAATCCTGGTCTCCTCTCCATGCAGGTGCTGGGGCTCGTGCGTGTCCCACTGTACACCCAAAAGGACCGAGTCGGTGGCTTTCCCAACTTCCTGAGCAACGCTTTCATCAGCACAGCCAAGTACCAGCTCCTCTTTGCTCTCAAGGTGCTCAACATGATGCCCGAGGAAAAGCTGGCTGAAGCTTTGGCTGCAGCCACGGAAAAGCAGAAGAAGGCCCTAGAGAAGCTGCTGCCATCTTCCTCCTGAGGTTGCTCCTGTGCCTTGTGTCTGTCGCCCTCTCCCTGGCTCTGTACCCGTGGGCTGAGGCTGGGCCCTCCAGCCTCATTGTGGGAGTGTGTCTTCTAGCATGTTCTGTGCTTGACCCATTCCGACTGTGTGGGGGAGTGGGCACCTCGTCATCTCCGCTGCCCAGAGCAGTTACTGGGTGGTGGCCTGGGTGCACCCACTCTAAAACGAGCTCTCTGCGTGCGTGTCTTTGGCTGGTGGAGCCCCAGGTGTTTCCCGATGGCCTCAGTGGATAAGTGCACATGCACTTGGACCCTGGAGAAGTTGCTTTGTTCTCGTGGCAGTTTTGTTCTTGTGGAGGCCAACTTTGGGTTGACTCCATCCTGCGTCCTGCCCCAAGCCAGCCCCAGCGTCTGGAGAAATGCCAGCCCAGGATAGGAGGTTATGTTGTGAATTTTGGTTGGTAGCTTTATTTGTGGTGAGTTTTCAAAGCAGCTTTACCCGCTCTGTCTTGGGCCCTGTCCCTGCGAACAGTCAGGGCCATGGGGCCCAGGTGTACAGGGAGCTGCTGGAGAAAGGACAGTAAAATCATGCCTCCGCTGTTCTGTGTGTTCTTCAGTCCTGGCTACAGGCCTAGGGGTGGACGCACGAGGGTGTCCCCTTCCCCGCCACCCAGGGACCTGAGGGCAGGGGCTGGGCCTAACAGCGGGGCTCTGGGTACCATTCAGGAGGAGATGATGCAGGCCTCCCCTCCCAGGTGGGGGTGCCAGCCACCTCCCCGTGTTGACTGTGGCACTGCCAGCCGTGGACTCTTCTGGGCCATGGGCCTGGTCTGGTGGTTTCTTCACTGAGACTGACAGTGTGACACCTCTCCCTGATCCTGGTGGCTCTGGTGGCGCCTGGGCTGAGCCCACTGCTTCTCCCTTTGAGAGCCTCCCTCTCTCTGTTCCCAGCACAGCCTGCAGGCACCTCCAGGAAACAGTCTGGCAGCACTGGCCAAGCGTGCACAATGACAACAGCAGAGCCACCACAGGACAGGAAGGTCACCACTGGCGGTCTCCTATGGCCCTACGTCTGGAAAGACTCCTCAGCGAAGCTCACAGTTTCCACAGCGCCGGCCTGGTAAGGAAAGCAATGCTCTCGGCCCAGCCTGGGTGTCCCATCTTAGAGCCTCGACGAAGTGGCTGGCACATGTGGGCAAGGACACTCTGCTCTGTAAATAAAACACCTGTACTTGCTCCTCTCTTATTTCTGGGGCCTGCTTCGCTCTCCAGGTAGCTTTGTAGAATCATGGGGGTTCTGATGCAAAGGTGGCCCTAGTTACAGGCAACAGAGGGATGGGGCAGCAGGGATCACCCAGTTGGTCCTGCCCTGAGCATGGTGCTCTGGGCGAGGGCCCTGGCACAGCTTTCCTCTTGCTGTGGTTTATCAGCCAGTACCTCAGGCCGTGGAACCAGAACTGAACCCCTCACCAGCCAATCTTAAACTTTATTTTCCAGCAAATGACATATGCTGCCCAGGCACCCCGCCCCAGTCCTCACCTGTCTGGGCGAACCTCAGTGTGGCGCCTGTGGTGTGTGGGGACACGCTCTCCCCAAGGCCCTGCCTGCTCTGGGCCCCACTCCCGGGTCTGGATAAGAGACCCTCGTCTTGCCTCAGTGCGGGCCTTGCTGCCCTTGCACCGGCCACAGCCCCGTCCTGTCTGCCAGCTGCTCCTGGGGCCCGATCCTCTGGCCCTGGCCACTGCAGCTGCCCGCTCGCTGGCCTCCTGTCCTCCGGGCACACAGCTTCAGGGTGGATCGTCACCCCACGTCAGATTCTGAGAAGGGAAAGGGAAGACTGAGGGGGGCGCTCGCTCGGCTGCACAGCTGCCCTGCTCTCGGGGCCGAGGTCCTGGACGGACAGACACTCACCGTCCCCCTGGCTAAGGCTCCCGCCAGTTCTCCTTCCCATTCAGCACTTGCAGCTTCTCCAGGCTCTGGGTCACTAAGCAGAGCACTCGCCCTGAGAACGGGGGCAGACAGTTACTGCTTCGCAGTCTGGAGGGCTCGAGGGCACAGGAATATATGACCTTGAGGGCTGGTGGGCTGTCCAGCCCCCTGGACTCACCCATCTCCCGGACTCGATCCTCCAGGGCTCCCGACAGCTGAGGGAGGCTCAGGGCCTGCAAGGCGGCCTGCCAGCCTTTGGAGTCTGCAGGGCAGAGAGCTGAGTAGGCCTGGGGTCTGTGCTCACAGGCCCTGCCCCTTCATCCTGAGCCACTGCGACCAGGGGACGCCCCCTCCCCCAACCTTTGGCGCCATACGTCCCCCTCGTTACATCAGCGTGTTCTCCTCCCACTTGTGGAGCAAAGCGCTGACGGCCGGTCAGGGCTCAGCCCCAGGAAGGTGTGTGAGGGCCCCTGCCTACTGCTGGGCCATGCCCTGGGGGGGCCCAGCCAGGGGCTACAGAAGTCACTTGAGGTCTTGGACAGTGGAGGCAGCCATGGCCCAAAGGCCACCTGGAGGGACAGTGAGGACATGGGCTTGGGCACGTGAGAGGATCTGGGGTGGGGTGGTGTCAGTGTGATAACTGCACTGAGACAAGTGGTAAAACCCAGCCTGGGGAGGTGTTCCTGCCCTCTGTCTATCTGTTCTGGGTCCAGGACACTGCTCTCCTTACCGGCTGTGGGGAGGCCTGGGCCCAGCATGGCCTCGAGCGGGGATTCATCCTGCTGCACTCGGGCGGACAGCTCAGCTTGACAGGCTCTGCCGGACACAAGAACCAATCGCTGGTGAGGGGAGAGCCCAGGCGAGCGCAGATACCCTTCTCCCAGAGTGTGAGGCAGGGCTCTGCCCTGTGCGCCCTGCCAGCCTGTGCCTGTGCGGCCTGGGCAGAGAAAAGACCCACACGGGGCCCCTCTGCTGCCTGGTGTGCCCTGCAAGGAGGGACAGCCAGATGAAATTGGGGCGGCGGTGACTGCAGGAGGCCCTGGAAACGACCCATTCTTGGAAGAATCTGGAGGAAACAGTGACTTGGCCTGGCCCTGGCCCGGGGGCAGCTCGGACACCCACTTACTGCAGCTGGTCCAGGACGAGCGCAGCGTCCCGGGCCAGGGCCCAGGTCTCCTGCAACTGTGCGTGGACGTCCTTGCGGGCGCCGTCCTGTTCCAGGAGGCAGCTCTCCACCACGGCCCGCAGCTCCTGCTCCTGTGACACCAGGCCCCGCATGGCCTCCACCTCCTCACAGCGCTGCAGCGGGAGAGGCAGCAGGTGCAGCAGGCTGGTTCGGGGGTGGGGAATGACCACTCGGGCAGGGTTCCCCCACCCCAGGTTCCATCTCCGCCATCAGACTGCCTCCTCTCCTGGCCTGGGGGAACCTGTCTCCACCTTGGAGCACCCCCGGCCTGGGCCCCTTCCTGCAAGCCCTGCGGTGTGCGCTGCTGACACCCTTTCTCCCTCCTGTGCCCACCTGTGCGCCCCACTGCATCCGAGCCATGATGCTTCCTGGCCTCGCTGTCCTGTCACCCGCCCTGGCTGTTGCTCTCCGCTGATTCTGGGCATCTGTCTCCACGCTGTGTCCTTCTCTGCACATCCCCTGCCCCAGCTCTCTACTTACTTTGTGCAGCTGGATGGCAAGCTCCTGCATCTCGGCTTCAAGCCGGTCGGCATAGGCCAGCTCCAAGGCATCACTGGGGGGGCGGGCGCTGCTGTGCCAGCGGGCGATGGCAGAGGTCATCTTTCTCTTGGGCCCAAACAACCTACAGCAGGGAATGAGAGGACACGGATCAGCACCTGCTCTATGTGGAGGTTCCGTGGGCCGTCCTTCTACCAAGACTGTCTGCTAGAAAGATCCCAGCTTTGAAGGGGGAGAGTAGCCCCCAGGATCCTGGGACAGAAGACAGAAAGTATCGTAAGGAGTCGTGACCTTCCCACCCTGCCTGGCTGCTGCTTTCACTGGACAGGGAGCTGGGGCTGCTAGGGATGCTCTCAAAGGTGGACAGTGGGAAATGTCAGGGTGCCCTGAGCACAGCAGTGTCTGCTGGGCCAGCTCGGGGCCTCGGGACCCAGGCTGCCTGCACCTGAGCTGGGAGCAGCTGCAGGAGTGGATAGCTGACAGCAGGGAGAAAGCCGGCCACTGGACAGAAAGGCTCTCCACCCAAATGCTGGGAGCTGCACCTCAGCTGGTTCCTGGGCCTTGTAGCCACGGAGACCCTGGGACTCACGTGATGCCGATTTCCTTCAGGTCGCTCTCAGTGAGGGTCAGAAAGATGCGGAGGTCCACGTCCTGCTCCTCAAACACCTGCAGGTATTTGAGGCAGCCAATCTGCTCCAGCAGCGTGGCGAGGTCCTAGAGGGTGAGGAGCCAGGGCAGGTCAGAGGACAGGCAGGCCACGAAGACCTGGGGGCAGGAAAAGGCCTGTGCTGCACACAGAGCTGACTTTCTCCTGCTGAGCACCTGGCCTGTCCTGAGCTCTGCTGACTCCCAAGTTCGGCAGAGAGCCTGGGCTGCCCCCTGTGTGTCCTCAGGCAGGGCAAGCAGGGCAGGCAGGGCGTCTTTGGACCAGTGTCTTCACTGCAGCAGGAAGCACACCCTGTGGCAGGTCTGCGGCAGCAGCTCCTCCCGGTCTCTGCTGACCCGGGACTCCTCATTTTTCCTTCACTCTGGGGGACAGTCTTTGCCGGACGTTGCACTGTTGGTTAACATGTCGTCCCATGTCTTCTGGTCCCCGTGGTTTCTGATGAGAAATACGCTGTTAATCGTCTGGAGATCCCCTTGTACGTGCTGAGTCACTTGTCTCTTGCTCCAAGATTCTTTGTTTAGTGACACTGATTGTGATGTGTCCAGGTGTGGCTCTGAATTTCACAAACTTAGAGCTCATTCAGCTTCTTGGATGTGCAGATTCATTTTTTGATCAAATCTGAGAAGATCTGGTTTTTTTTTTTCACTGAAAACTTTTTTTTTTGGCCTTTTGGATAGAAATGGGAATTTATTTGCCAGGAAGGATGATCCCATGAGACCAGTGCAGGGCCTCCTCTTTGCTAATTCTGTGTGCAGCCTGCCCTGCACTTCTTGTCTGCGATGCTGAAACCTGGCCTCCCCAGCACCACGTAGAGGTCCAGGCTGTAGGTACCAATGCCTGGTGTTTGATCCCCAGATCGACGTGTTCTTGGATCCCCAAACCAAAATTTCCAGTATCTGAGAGATTATTTTTTCTTAACTTGCATTCTCGCACCTTTAGACGTTTCTCCAGGATTTCTTCTGCCTTGGCCCCACGGACTGTGCAGTGGACGGCAGTCTTTTCATTTCCCCTGATAAGATTTGGCTATTTTAAAACATTTTTTCTACTTTTCCCTCCCTCCTCCCCAGGAACACCATTACGTGCAAGCTGTTACACTTGCTGGTGTCTCACAGGTTTCTGTTCATTTTTCTTCATTCTTCTTTATTGGATTGGATAACCTCAAGTGATCTATGTTAAGTCTTCTGGTTCTCTCTTCTGTGTGCTCAAACCTGCTATTGAGCCCCTCTAGTGAAATTTTCATCTTAGTTATTGTACTTTTCAGTTCCAGAATTTCTATTTGGTTCATTTTTATTTCTATCACTTTATTGATATTCTGTATTTAGACATGGTTTCCTTTAGCTCTTGGAACATATTTTATACTTTTTTTTTGTTTCTGTTTTACAAACTCTGTGTCAAGGGCTGACTTTCAGGAGATGGCAGTGATGGAGCTGCTCTGCTACGTAGGAGACCCCGACCCAGAAGCAGGCAGCTTCGCCCCACCGGCTCCTCTGCCAAGCACATACACCAAATCTTGGAACATATTGAAAGAAGCTGATTTAAAGGCTCCAATCGGCATGTGTTTAAGGTATGGAGAGGTCAACTGCTCACCAAGCCTGGGAACACAGGCACTGGAGAAAGCTCGCCAGAGGGGCTGCGAGGAGAAACCAGCAATATCACAGGCTTTTAGTGAAGAGCAGAGCTGTGACTTTAATAAATGGCAAATATTGACCTCTCTTCCACCTTTGTACCACTTATGCCCGCAGCGGGTGGGAGAACACACTAGGCAGTGGCGCTGCTGTTGTACCTGTAATCCTGGACACACTGCTCAGTCAGAGCAGCCACGATGAGAAAGGCAGCAATTAAGTTCTCATTAAGTCCCGACTAAGTGCCACTTTGCCTCTGCTTCCCATGCAGCTTGTCACTGTCACCTGAAAGCAGCTCTGTGATGCTGGTCCTGTGTTTCTCCTCCCCAGGCTCAGGGAGGCTGAGCTGAGCAGGAAACCAGCGGGAGAGATGGATCCCTCCATGGAAAGGGATGAACAGAAGCCCGGCACCTGGCTCCTCTCACCATTAGGAATCCTCTCAGCCCGAGTAGCTTTCTAGGTCGTGTGGAGAAAACCACCCCACTCTTTTCTCTCAACAGTGCCGGCCCCATGGGAAGTACAAATAAATGCCTCACAAATCACAAGAAGCCCCACGGTCTTACCTGGGGTCCTGAGTAGGGGGACCCGTCAGTCTGGGGGATCAATCTTGGGGCACAGGAAGTCCCGGTGCCAGGAGGCCACTGGCTGTCGCTGCTGCTGTAACGATTCTTGGTCTTCACGTAGCTTTTAGTTTGTTTGCGAACCGAGCTTTTCCGCGCATGATCCGAGTCCTGTGGTGAGAGGTGTGTGTTTAAAGAAACTGCGGGGGCTGGCAGCTGACATGCTGCATCCAAGCTCTGCTCCCTGCCCCACCGCCAGCGTATGCGGCTTCCTCTGCACGCTCCCTTCACAGTGGGGAAGGTCTGAAACTTCCCGTAACTCCCCCGCCTGCCAGAGGCCTCCCCAGTGGCGGCCCCCATGGCACTGCATGGACACGCTCACCTCAAGTGAACTGCTTGGCAGCCCCCACGACACCGGGGAGGGGGAGGAGGGGGGGGTCACCTCATTGCTCTCCAGGGAGGCCTCGCTGCTGAGTTCCGGGGCCTGGGCCAGGCCCTCACTGCTGCTGCTGCTCCGCGCGGCCCCGAGGTGGGCACAGAAGGCGTGCTCTTCTGACAATGGCGAAGATGAGGACGCCTGACCACAGGCCTCGCCCATGGCGACTCCCCAGAGCCCTGTCCCCGAGCGGCTTCAGCCACAGCGCTCCCCGGCCCCTCCAATCGTTCACTGTTTGCTTCTGCTTCACGCCGACTGCCGGGCCAGGCCCTTCCTCTCTAGGCTCGGCAGGGTTTGTCTGCTCTGTTCACCGATAAATGCAAGCATCTAGCCAGTGCTTGGCACACAGGACACTCGGTAAACAGCTGTGGAATGGACGATGCACATAACATACGAAGACATTTCCTAAGGACTTACCAGTCAAGAGGCTAAGCCTGTCTGTCTGGACTGACCCCCAGATCCTGCTCAGAGACCCTGGGTGAGAAGTCTCCTCACCTGTCCCCACGCCAGATTATGACTCTCCTCACAACAGCCAGAACCTTCTCTAACCTTCACCCTCTCCTCTGCCAGATGGACCCATCACAGGGCCACGGCCCAGCTGGACTGGTGGCGGGGGGGGGTGTGCGTACCCCGGCTGCTGCTGCTGCTGCTCTCCACATCCCGCTCATTGATGGGGGAGGTGACGTCCCTGTAGCAGAGGCCCCCCTCTTCCAGGGGGTTCTCATCGCTGCTGTTGAAGGTGACATAGCCCCGTGGAGGCACCTGTTCTGTGGACAGAATGGGGCACGTAAATCCACACGCATAAGGAAGGACGAGTTCTTCCTTCCACACGCAACCACCTCCTCAGAGGGATCTCAGCGAGGGGAGCCCCAGGACAGCATTCTCTACTCGCCACGGTAACCTGGACAGAGCCGTGCCGTCTGCAGATGAGGAAACAGGCTCCAAGGGGTTAGTGACCAGCTTGTGCCCAGCACCGGGTGCACGTGGAGCCAGGCCTGGCAGTGGCGGCCTATCACGCCACGCTGTTGCTTTGCCAAGAGGACAAAGTAGGAGATGGTAAGCTGTATTTACAAATTCCTGAGCCAAAGGAAAACTATACTACAAGGTGTTCCCACAGCTGGAAACATCTACTCTCATACACACACCGGCCTGCATGTCCCCTGCACAGGGGCCAGTCAACCCCAGTCAAGAAGATCCAGCTGAACAGGAAGGTAAGAGGCCCTGGCTAAACATTAACGGCAGCGACAATGAATTTATAACCTCTGAATGTCTGCCTGCGAGAAAACAAGGAGAAGAGGCAGAACACAAACCAGAGTGTTTAATTCCGCCTTCGCCCCTGCCTCTGCCCCACAGAAGGTACGTGTATTTGCATGAAAGAGCCTGGTTGGTGGGACCACAGGTAACTTATTTTCTTATTTATACCTTTCTGAAGTTAGAGATTTTTTACATCAGCACATGCTACTTATCATTCAAAAATGTTTTTTAACTTTTGGCAAAGAGCATATATGCACTTACAGAAAATTAAACTTTCACACAGTGTAAGAAGAAAAACAATCTCCTGAAAGGCCAGAGCTGAGAGGCTGGTGAACACTCCTTCCTATGCCCCGGCCACAGCTCAGGCAGGACAGGTGGCCTAGACTCGTCCAAAGGAACAGACTCTACCACTCATCCCAGAGCCCCGAGCTCCCAGCTGCCAGACCGGACGCCCGTGTCCTCACCTTCAGCACCAGCTCGCCAGTCAGCCCCCCGGATGCTGGGAGGAGGCAGGCCTGGTTACCAACCAGCGCCAGGACCCCTCCCAAGGGTCTGAGAAGGGAATCAAATCCTCACATGGTCTCCTGGCTGGGAGGGGGTTCTGAGGGCTGCTTGCTAGACCAGCGGCTGGCCACTGATGGGTGAGACCCACACTGGAGTCTGGTCACTCAGGCCAGCACGAGAGACAGTGTCAAGCCCAACTTGCCCCAAGTACTCAGCGCCTGTGCTCCCCAAAAGCACTGCACTCAACACTCAGGAGCTGATGGTCTGACAAAAACTCAGGCCATCTGGAAACTCAGGGTCTAGGGTTCTGGCCTACCAGGTGTCTGGTGGGCAGTTCTCAAATCCACACCCTGAGAAAAGAGTGCGAGGGCAGAGTCCTCCCCAGGGGATGCGGCAGAGACAGGAAGGGGACTCAACGGTCACATTCTCCCTGCTGGGCTGACCCACCCACGTGAGGAATGGATCCAAGCTTAGCTATCTCTCTCCTACAGGAGAGAATGTTCTATTTGTAGTTTTAACCAACAGAAAGGAAACTCAAAGGACGAACCAAAACCCAAGAGCGAGCCACTGACTAATGTGTCTCCATCCCTGTGACGGATTCTGAGTCCTTGAGCTGCTGCTCCCACCCGGCAGCCCAGGCGGCCCCCATGTCAGGAGCCTGAGAGTCGTTCGTTCTCTCAGACAGAATCCTAGACTAAGGTGTTGAAGCCACCGGGATCGTGGGGCACTAACCATAGCAAGGCTGCTGTATCCTGCCTCCGAGTCCAATAGCTGTGAGCCTGGCCAAGGCCCGCGGCCCCTCGTGGATGCTGAGGCCCTTCTTCCGACAGGGCCTCTGTCTCTGAGGGACAGGGCAGGATTCATCTGAAGAGCTCAGATCTTCGTATTTTTCTGTGGGTCAAACACCAAAATTTAGACAGTATGTTCAGTGATGGACTAATTTACTAATCCTCATAATGAACTGAAATAAAAATCATCGTAATTGCTTTTTTCCTTTTCCTAAATTAAGAAAAGTGTTCCCAGGATGTCACCTGTAAGAAATGCCACAATGGGTGGGTCCACTGCTCAGACGGGCCACAGGGACATGGGGCAGGGGGCGGGGGGGGGGGGGGGGGAGGAGTAAAATTGCTAAGTATGGTGAGCAGATCCAACTCATCCCTCTCTCTGAGTTTCCAGAATTTTTTACAACATGTAAGTATGTTAACAGAAATACATTCTGTTCTAAGCTGAGGTGACAAGTAAGATCCATCTCTTCATAAACATATGGCAACGGCAGTCACAACTTCTTAAGCCATTTTATATTCTCAACCTGAACAATCTCTTAGGAAACAAGTGCCACATGACAGCTCTGTGTGCTGTTTTACGACCCGTCTGAGCTGAAGAGCTCAGTGTGCCCACAGCTGTCAGCATTTTATAGCTTTTCATTGTTTTCCATATTTCATTACACCTAGAAGACAAAATTCAGGGGTTTATTTGTAGAAGGCACCCACTGGGTGAGATCTCACTTTGGAGTTGGTGAACTGGGGTGGAGACATGCAGAGAAGCCCCTCATTAACACTGTATCCCCTCTATGATGGTGTCTGTTACAAAGCAGTCCTGAGGCCAAGAAGGGAGAGGCTCACTCAGACATGAACTGAAGGCTCAGCCCAGCCACTGCCCAAGAGCAAGAGTCACTGGCCCAGTTTCCAAGCCCAGGCCAGTGATGCCAAGTGGACCCCTCCCTCACACTCCAGGATCCATGCCGCCAGGAGGAGACTGGGGTCTATCCAAGCAGAAGCTGAAGGAGTCATAAAAAATAACTGTTCAGGGCTTCCCTGGTAGCACAGTGGTTGAGAGTCCGCCTGCCGATGCAGAGGACACGGGTTCATGCCCCGGTCAGGGAAGATCCCACATGCCGCGCAGCGGCTGGGTCCGTGAGCCATGGCCGCTGAGCCTGCGCGTCTGGAGCCTGTGCTCCGCAACGGAAGAGGCCACAACAGTGAGAGGCCCGCGTACCGCAAAAAAAAATAATAATAAAAAAATAACTGTTCAGGGCTTCCCTGGTAGCACAGTGGTTGAGAGTCCGCCTGCCGATGCAGAGGACACGGGTTCATGCCCCGGTCAGGGAAGATCCCACATGCCGCGCAGCGGCTGGGTCCGTGAGCCATGGCCGCTGAGCCTGCGCGTCTGGAGCCTGTGCTCCGCAACGGAAGAGGCCACAACAGTGAGAGGCCCGCGTACCGCAAAAAAAAATAATAATAAAAAAATAACTGTTCAGGCAGGGGCACCAAGGAAAAGGTGGCTCCACGAATTTGAACCTCCTGACGTGGCCCCTTGATCCCGTACAGTTGGCAGAACAGACAGAACCACACGAACCCCACACCCCAACATGGCCCAGGTGGCAGGGAGCCCCACAGACGCCAGCATCCCTGATGCCTGGGAGGAGGCGAGCACCCACTCCAGCAGAGACTCAGCACTCACCCCATTCTCTGCACAGAGACTAGTGGGTCTAGGAAACACACCACACAGAAGAGAGACGTGGGTAAAGACCAGGCCCACATGGTTTCACAGGGAATCCTTCAAAGACCACATGGGGGGCTTCCCTGGTGGTCCAGTGGTAAAGAATCCGCCTTCCAATGCAGGGGATGCGGGTTCGATCCCTGGTCAGGGAACTAAGATCCCATGTGCTGCGGGGCAGCTAAGCCCATGCGCCTCAACTACTGAACCCGCACTTGCGTGCTGCAAACTACAGAGCCTACACGCACTGGAGCCCACGCACCCCAACTAGAGAGAAGCCCGTGTGTTGCAATGACAGATCCCATGTGACGCAACTAAGGCCTGATGCACCCCCACCAAAAAAAAAAAAAAAGACCACATGGGACCAATGCTACATAAATTGTTCTAGAGCACAGAAAAGAAGGGAAACTTTCCAGTTCTTTTTATGAAGTATAATATTGAGACCTATAACTGATAAAGATAGACAAAAGAAAATCACAGACCAACATCACTTATGAATATCCATACAAAATTAATAAACATTAGCAAACAGAATCTAGAACCACATTAAGAAAAGAGTACACCAAGTGGGATTTATGCCAAGAATGTAAAATTGGTTCATTATTAAGAAATTCATTAACATAATATACTGTTAATAGACCTAAGGAGAAAATTCACAATCATCTCCATAGATGTTGAAAACACCTTTGACAAAATTCAGCACTTATCCTATAAAAACATTCAAGAATACAGGAAATGAAAAATACTTTCTTAACATGATAACATATATGCAGACCTTACTCTGCAAGCCAGCATCTTACTTTTGAAAAAAAAACCATTTTTTATTCTTTATTTTCATTTATATTTTTTATTTTTTGGCTGCACCACATAGCACGTGGGATCTTAGTCCCCCAAACAGGGATCGAACCCGCGCCCCCTGCAGTAGAAGCGTGGAGTCTTAACCGCTGGACTGCCAGCGAAGTTCCAAGCCAGCATCATACTTAACGTGGCATTTCTGCTAAGATCGGGGCCAAAGTGAATGCCCACTACCTCACCTCATTCAATGGGGAACTAGAGGGATTAGTGAGTGCGATGAAAGCAAAGAAATCTGAGGTACAAAAATCATGAAAAAAGTAGTAAATCTGTCTCTATTTGCAGGTTTTATGGCAGTGTACCTGGAAAACCCTAGAGAACAGATAAATAAAACGAATTCAGACAATGAAAGAATTCAATAAGGCAGGAGGCGGTAGAACTGTGGACAGACAGCAGTCGCCTTCCTCTGCACAAACAAGCCGTTCAAGGCTATGATGGCAGCATTAAGAGGGATAATGCGTTTACAACAACAATGATGAAAATCAGACCCTAAGGAATAAACTTCAGTTATATGCAAAATGTATTTGAGGAAAAATTTAACACCCTCTTGCAAGACACGAAAGTACACTTGAACAAAAGGACGTCCCTTGGTCTTAGGGCGACTCAACAACACAGCAGTTCACTTGTACATTTGCCACAGTCACAAAAATATCAGCACGCTGTTTTTAAGGAGGTAGACAAGTTGATGCTCAAGTTCACACAGAAAAGCAAGTGCCAGGAAACACTGGAGAAGGAAAGCTACGAGGAGGGCCGGCCCCACCAGGTGGCAAAACATGTCAGAGAAAGCCTCTGTCATTTACACAGTGTGGGTCTGTGTGTGCAGAGTCCAGTGGAACCGAACAGGCAGTCCAGAAACAGACCTGAATGCAAACAGAAATTCAGAATATATGGTAAAGATCACTAGGTCAAAAATAGACTTCTAAACACATGATGCTAGGATAACGGGGCAGCTGTTTGGAAAAAACCATCCGTGAAAATACACTGTGAATGGATCAGAGATCTACAGGGAGAAATGAAACCATACACATACTAGAGGAAAACATGGGCAATTTGTTGTACAATGAGGGCATAGGGCAAGATTTTCTGTGACTTAGAACCCAGAGGCAATAAACAGATGAATTTGACTACATAAAATTTAAACATCTGGGGCTTCCCTGGTGGCGCAGTGGTTGAGAGTCTGCCTGCCGATGCAGGGGACACGGGTTCATGCCCCGGTCTAGGAAGATCCCACATGCCGCAGAGCGGCTGGGCCTGTGAGCCACGGTCGCTGAGCCTGCACATCTGGAGCCTGTGCTCCACAACGGGAGAGGCCACAACAGTGAGAGGCCCGCATACCGCAAAAAAAAAAAAAAAAAAAAAATTAAAACATCTGCATGGCAACAAACAGCACAAGCAAAGTCAAGAAACAAAAACCAGAGCAATCCCCTCTGTGAGTTGCCCTCCTCCTCCCTGTCCTGCCCATCCTCAGCCTGGCAATCCCACCCTACATTCTACACCCTCTCCCCTCAGCCCGGGTCCTGGCCAGGCTCCGGGAGCCAAAGGGGAGGAGGGGCCGCCAGCAGAGGCCTGGCCGCAGATGCAGGTACCTGGGCTCCGGTAGAGGCTCTTAGGCAGAGAAGGTGAGTGAGCGTCTATCAGCCCCACAATCTTCATGTGTCCATACTGCTTGGCCAGCATCCGGGCTGTGGCTCCACTGTGGTCTCTCGTGTCCACTTTGACTCCCTGTGGAAGTTTGTGAAAGAAGAGTTAGGAACCTCGCCCACAAAGCAGCCTCGCTTCGGAGCTGCAGACCCTGGAGGAGAAGGAGGGCGCCGGCATCTTCCTGACAAGCCCACATCCCTGCGAGAAAGTGGGGAAGGCAATCTATCTATCTATCTATCTAGATATCTATCTATGGCTGCACTGGGTCATCGTTGCTGCACGGGCTTTCTTTTTAGTTGCAGCGAGCGGGGGCTACTCTTTGTTGTGGTGCGCAGGCCTCTCATTAAGGTGGCTTCTCTTGCTGTGGAGCATGGGCTCTAGGTGCACAGGCTTCAGTAGTTGTGGCTCGTGGGCTCTAGAGCACTGGCTCAGTAGTTGTGGTGCACGGGCTTAGTTGCTCCACAGCATGTGGGATCTTCCCAGACCAGGGCTCGAACCCATCTCCCCTGCATTGGTAGGCAGATTCTTAACCACTGTGCCACCAGGGCAGCCCCGGAAGGCGCTTCTTAGTGACAAGAGTCAGGGGCACCCGGCTGGCTCTGACGCTGCAGACACACACTGAATGGGGAGCATGTGCCCCACTCGCTGCACCTCTCTTCACACAGAGAAAACTGGAGACAACAGATTCACTGGAGGGCCAGCCTTTAAAAACCATAATCAGATTGGGAGCACCACCCTTCTGAAACAGAATTTGGTAACTTTTACTCAAAGCCCTAAAAAGTACTTATCGTCTTCAACACAACAGTTCCACTTCCACACCACATATCTGCAATAACAAAAACCCGGAGACAACTTAAATGCTCAGGGGGATGGAGAGTCAGCTATGTTACTGCCATAAGTGCTGGTATTTACAAACAACAAAATTATAACCAAGATTTAAAAAGGACCACGATACAAAACTGTATATATACATTACAACTGTGACAAAACAAAAAAGTATACAGAAAGTAATACTGGAAGGAAATATGCTCAAACTGTTAGTATTATTTTTAAGCAGTAAGATAATGGGGATTTTTCACATCTTCCTAATCTTCTATATTTTCTAAATTTACTACTATGAGCACGTTTACTTTTTTTTTTTTTTTTTTTGCGGTAGGCCGGCCTCTCACTGTTGGGGCCTCTCCCGTTGCGGAGCACAAGCTCCGGACGCGCAGGCTCAGTGGCCATGGATCACGGGCCCAGCCGCTCCGCAGCATGTGGGATCTTCCCGGACCGGGGCACGAACCCGTGTCCCCTGCATCGGCAGGCGGACTCTCAACCACTGCGCCACCAGGGAAGCCCAGAACGTTTACTTTTGAAAACTGGAAAAGCCCAATAAGCTTTCCATTTTGAAAGCTTCAACCGTGCAGTCTCGTAGTTGATGGTGGGACTATGAGCCCGTGCTCTGGAGGGCAAATCAGCAAGAGAGAGTTGAAACCTGAAAAGTGTGCATGCCCTATGACCCAGAAATTCCACTTCTGGGAATTTAACCTCAGGAAATAATGAAGGATATACACTAACATTTAGGATCTTCCCTGAAGCATTTAGCATAGTGAGAACTGAAAAGAACTAGTTCACTAGGGGGTTAGTGAAATAAGTGAGAACACATAAAATGGAACACCACCCACCCACTTACGTGACGGGGCCAAGTGTACGTACAAACCTGGGCAGGTGTGCACAAGACATCGTTAAGAGAAAAAAAGCATATTACAAAACATTCTGTATGATGGAATTCCACTTTGACTTAAAATATTTATCCATTAAAAACTAGGATACTTGAGAATTCCCTCACAGTCCAGTGGTTAAGACTCGGGATTTCAGTGCCATAGTAGACCTGGGTTTGATCCCTGGTTGAGGAACTAAGATCCCATAAGCTGCTCGGTGCGGAAAAAAAAAACCAAAAAAAAACTAGGACACTCAACAATATGTTAATGTGTGCTATCTCTGGGTGATGGTATTATGAGTGATTTTTGCTTTCGGTTTGCTTAAATATACTTTCTAATTCTTTTACAGCAAGTATATATCGCTTGTATAGTAAATATTTACATATGTACTTTTTTTCCCCTATTTTAGAAAACTATGATCAACTGACAGTCTTGGTTGAGCCCAGTACAGAAGGTGATTATCACACTTCCCTCTGGTAGGAAAAAAACCACATTTGTACAAGAGCCTAATCGAGCTTTACTTTCTATAATCCCCAACTTTCCAGAGCTCTGGTTAGAAATCAGCAATGAAACCTTCAGCCTTAAAAGATCATTTCAGGGGAGTGGCAGGAGGGAAAATTGGATGAAGGTGGCCAAAAGGCACAACATCCTGGGGGGAGGGGCAAAATAGGGGTAGGGGATTAAGAGGTACAAACTATTATGTAAAAATAAATAAGCTACAAGGATATATTGTACAAAAAGGGAATATAACCAATATTTTATGACTATAAATTGATATAACTTTTTAGTTTTTTTTTGGCTACACCTCGCAGCTTGCGGGATCTTAGTTCTCTGACCAGGGATTGAAGCGGGGCCCCCGTCAGTGGAAGGATGGAGTCCTAACTACTGGACGGCCAGGGAAGTCCCTAAGTGCAGTATAACCTTAAAAAATTGTGAATCACTATGTTGTATACCTGTAACATATAATATTGTACACCAACTACATCTCAATGAAAATTTTTAAAAAGGCACAAACTTCCAGTTGTAAGTAGAAACTAGGGATGTAATGTACAACATGATGACCACGGTTAACACTGCTATGTGTTATATAGAGAAGTTGTTAAGAGAATAAATCCAAAGAGTTATCATCACAAGGAGACATATGTATATAGATATTTGTATCTATATGAGATCATGGATATAAACTAAACTTATTGTGGTAAGCATTTCATGATATACAGAGGTCAAATAATTATACTGTACACCTTCAACAGTGATGTATATCAATTATATCTCAATAAAGCTGAAAAAAAGATAATTTCTAGTTTCAGTTTGATAGAAGGACCCAAAGGTTTCAACCAGAAAAACAATACCATCTTTACTGAAGGATTTTTTCTTTTTTTTGGCTGCGCCACGGGGCTTGTAGGATCTTCTTAGTTCCTCAACCAGGGATCGAACCCGCACCCCCTGCATTGGAAGCGTGGAGTCTTAACCACTAGACTGCCAGGGAAGTCCCTGAAGGATTTTATCTTTTTTTTTTTTTGCAGTACGCGGGCCTCTCACTGTTGTGGCCTCTCCCATTGCGGAGCACAGGCTCCGGACACGCAGGCTCAGCGGCCATGGCCCACAGGCCCAGCTGCTCCGCAGCATGTGGGATCTTCCCGGACTGGGGCACGAACCCGCATCCCCTGCATCGGCAGGCGGACTCTCAACCACTGCGCCACCAGGGAAGCCCCACTAATATCTATTTTTAAGCCTGGAAGACTTCAACTTCAGATTATACTAAAGGGAAAAAAGAGTAGTAACACTATTCCTTAGTGAGGAAGAAAACAGAACTGACAACAAGAAGGCTCCAAAGGTGAGGGAAGAAAATATTAGAATTTCCATCAATTTATTTATCCTTTAAATTTTTTTGTTTTTCTATTTTATAATGTACATAATATGTAACTAGAGAAGAACATGATGGAAGTTCATTTTAACTGACAGGAAGGTGGGATCACAAAGGTGAGAGGCTGTGAACCAGCGTGATGGCGGGGGGGCACCCACCATGTGGAGGCCATGGCACCCTGAGCTCCCTCCTAGGAGAGGCCCAGGCTACCCTACATGGTCCTACCGGAAGGAGGGACATAGGGTACGAGGGAAGTGGCTGCAGCCCCTTCCTCCCCTAGCAAAGAGCACGGGGTGCCCGGCCTCCAAGTGTGGAGCCTGGCTAAGGTCAGGGGACTAGGTGGGCTCACCCATGACTGAGCAGGAGGAAATTTGCAGGGAATGAGGAGCATCCACACAGGGCCAGCCAGACGGCCTCCCTAGCAAAGGAATGACCCGGCCCATCAGCCAAAAAGCAACCACCAGAACTGACCAGTCCCTTCCACTCCTGATTAGTGCACTAGGGGAGGCTCACTGTTGATTTCCTGAGTTTGATAACTGTATGTGATAATGAAAGAGAAAATTCTTGTTTTAGGAAAAACATACTAAAGTATTTAGGAGAGGGACTTCCCTGGTGGCAAAGTGGTTAAGAATCCGCCTGCCCATGCAGGGGACATGGGTTAGATCCCTGGTCCCAGGAAGATCCCACATGCCGTGGAGCAGCTAAGCCCGTGTGCCACAACTACTGAGCCTGCGCTCTAGAGCATGCGAGCCACAACTACTGAGCCCACGTGCCACAACTACTGAAGCCTGGGCACCTAGAGCCCATGCTCTGCAACAAGAGACGCCACCACAATGAGAAGCCCCACTTGCCACAACTAGAGAAAATCCGTGTGCAGCAACAAAGACCCAATGCAGCCAAAAAATAAAGAAAAAGAAAAAAAAAGAAAATGGTTAAAAAAAAAAAAAAGTATTTAGGAGGAAAAGGGCATTATGTCAGCAACTTACTTTAAAATGGTTCCAAAAAAGATAATAGGTATATAGAGACTGATAAAGAAAATGAAGTGAAATGCTAACATTTGGGGAATTCAGTGAAGGTACGCAAATTCTCTGTACTATTTTATAACATTTCTTTAAGTCTGAAATTGTTTCAAAGTTTAAAATTTAGAAAAATTTCCAAAATAAATCCAATACAATTTGTTTTC